AGTTAATTTAAATTCTGCAAGGAGACAACCCATAAATCACTTCCATTCTGACTAATGGCTTCTGCACTCAGGGAAAACTCTCACCTCTCTACCTGGAGACATTCGGCGCTGCAAAAATACCGGCCGCGAGCGCTGGTGTCTGTGCGCGCCGGTGTGTATCCGTGTTGTGTGTAGTTTATAGGTGCAGCGGCTTCACTCAGACAGACAGTTTTTGAAGGAGTCAGCAGCCCCCGCCCCTGCAGCCCCCGCCTCGGCAGCCCCCCCCAGCCCTCACCGGAGAGAGGCAAGAGATCCCCAGGAGTTGGCCCATAATTAGCCTCCGTAAAGGCCCAGGCTGACGTCACAAGTGCGGTGACTCCAAACTCACCTTGGACTGGATTTCCTAAATTCACTTCGGGTTAAGGCGAATACACACACACACACAGACACAAACACAGTCACACACACACACACACACACACACACACACATACACACACATCCAGACCCAAGTGAGATGGAGAGGAATGAATGTGGTTTCTTATGTTAATGTCTGTACACAGGTAAGCCTTTTTCTTCTCTTGAATAATATATTTTGTTTAAGTGTTTGACGCTTTGGTTTCTCTTTGTTTTCTGGCTGAAAAGTCTGGTCTGAAAAAAAAATGTGGCAGATGCCTTGAAAACACGCATGTGAAAACTTTTGAGTGAGAATCGAGATGTATTTATTATCTAGACTTGTTTCGTAAAGATGTTTGTGGTCTGAAAGTCAGGTACCCCAACTTTGAGACTAGTATCTACTTGAGTATGTCCTGTTATAGAAAAAATATGTATGAACGAAGAAATATGAATAAGAGGCAGTCAAGATGAGCAACACCCCCATCTGGTGGCATGCGCGGAGAATTACACCCTGTTTTTATTGTTATACATCCAATATTGTACAATCTGCTTGAGTTTGTACAGTTATAAAACATGTTATTTGACCGGAGATGTGTAAATAAGTAGGCAGCCTTTATTTAGAGACGTTTCTTACTTATCAAGGTTATCAATCCCCCAGAGAGATTGACTCACAAGATGCTTCACGAGTTAAATAAAAAGAGACATAAATGATGTAATAAAATAGCATGGGTTCCAGTGCAAACCGATTGCAAGACGTCTTTGTGTTTGTGTTTTTATAGATAGAAGGATAGATCTGTGAGCATTCAGAAAGATGAGACTTTTATATTCTGATATTGTCGCACAGGGGTGAAAAAAAACGAGATCTGTCAGCAAATAATAATGTTGTTCATGATTTAAAGGGGATTTATCTAACATTTTATGAACAAATATATTTAGCATGTTTGACCTTGACTCAGTGGCTGCTCGAGTGATCAGTGTGGCGTCATTTACTTTCCCTCACAGTGGAACTAGAAAACAAACAAAACAATGTTCAACTGTTCCCCCTTAGAACATTACATGATGCAACTTTAAAGCTCAAAACATGCTAATTTTCACCACATGTCTTTGAATGGTCAATATTGATTATTGTGAGTCTGTTTGCTGTCACCATATCCTTTGAGTGGAGAAAACAATTTTAAACAATGATTTTTTATATTTGTATTAAGTCCAATAGAAAAGTGCAGATGACTGGATAAGTACATACAGGTATACTTTATATGCAGTAAATGTACGCTTACAACGCATCTATCGTGTAGTGAGCCGTTGGTTTATCCCCCCCTGTGAATCACTGAGTCATAATCATACAATACATAATACAATTTATTCTTGTATAGCCCTAAATCACAACAGCATCATCTCAGAGACTTAACAAAACCATTGAAATCACCAACACAGATCAGAGAATCAACAGTTAAGACACAAAAAATATATATCTGTTGACTGTATTGGTCAATAGGGAGAGACCAGTGTGTTCTGTGGGCTTTTTAAAAATGGCGGCAAGGCAGGAAAATGTGAAGAAAAAAAAAAACGCATTCTGAAGTCCACAGCGACTAAACTAGAGTGGTCCAAAAATACTCTCCTCAGCATTTACAGCATGTGGATTGTAGCTTTGGCCAAGAGCGACTTTTGGACCATCCATGTTAGAGATAAGAATACGGCATACAAAATCATTGGGTAATTCTCTTTCCGGGTACACCCCCACCAACCCGCAGTGGAATTGAAGAATGTCAGCGGACGTGCTCATGGACCTTTTGGTGCCGGGACCCGCCCCCACTGGTCATAACGTCTCATGCTTATCGTACCAAACACACATGGATCAATGTTATCAGGCATTTTTAAATCGCTAAAACTCAAGGCACTACACGCCATCACGCATCAGTGTTGTGGCAATTTCACCTCGGCTACTTGCAATAATTCATTAAACAAATACTGCTTCCATTATGCATGAACTGTATTTTCGGAGTACAGCGTTGAGTGAATTAATGAGACACCATTGTAACATGGTCTTAAAAGAATGTGTCTCTCTGCGCACTATGCTAATGACTTATTTATCTAATTTACCACAAATTTAACAGATGAGATGTGTGTTTGGGCAGAGAACATGGACTGTAGTAACTGTATAACTGTGTATTTGGTGAATCTACAAACTGTAAAGGTTCTATATGACCTGGTGATGTTTTCAGATCCATCCAGTCCTGTAATAGTCTCCCCTCCCTCTGGTGGTAGCACAGGGAATGACAGGCGGGAAGCATTTTTTCGCATTCATACTATAGTTCCAACTCAAGATGATATTTCCCAATTTTTTTCCACTTATTTAAATTGTACAAGGCATGTTATCAGATCCTCTTCCCTCCTGTATGTAAAATCAGCGACGGTGGTGGTAGTGTCCTTAAAACCGGGGGAAGTTTGGGGCACGGAGCCGATCATTCTGTATCATTTTCTGTTTCGCGTTGTCGTTTGTGTCAGCACTGCCTCAAGCTATTTTTGTTTTCCCATTGCCCTCTGTTGACCTGCCACTATACTCGCTCCACTATGCAGATGTATGACAACACGAAACAGGCCGCTCCGAGAGAGGATCTGTCAGGCAAACTCCAGAAGCAATCATGCCTCGTGGCCATAATAATAATAATGCACTTCACTGAATATGTAAACGTATGCAAACTGTATTGTATATTAAGTCAAACATGGCCTCACAAAAGCAAAACCGCGCTTTTATTTTAACGCATAGTGGGGCCGACATGAAATAAGAAATACAGATACATTTGGAAATGTAAAGGGCTGCAAACTGATAGAAGTGTAAAACATACAACATCTACAGCCTCAGTCCTGGGTCTACAGTCTCAGTACTGGAGGATCTACAGCCTCAGTCCTGGATCTACAGCCTCAGTCCTGGAGGATCTACAGCCTCAGTCCTGGATCTACAGCCTCAGTCCTGGATCTACAGCCTGAGTCCTGGATCTACAGCCTGAGTCCTGGATCTACAGCCTCAGTCCTGGATCTACAGCCTCAGTCCTGGATCTACAGCCTCAGTCCTGGGTCTACAGCCTCAGTCCTGGGTCTACAGCCTCAGTCCTGGATCTACAGCCTCAGTCCTGGATCTACAGCCTGAGTCCTGGGTCTACAACCTCAGTCCTGGATCTACAGCCTCAGTCCTGGATCTACAGCCTGAGTCCTGGATCTACAGCCTCAGTCCTGGATCTACAGCCTCAGTCCTGGATCTACAGCCTCAGTCCTGGATCTACAGCCTCAGTCCTGGATCTACAGCCTCAGTCCTGGGTTTACAGCCTCAGTCCTGGGTCTACAGCCTCAGTCCTGGGTTTACAGCCTCAGTCCTGGATCTACAGCCTCAGTCCTGGATCTACAGCCTCAGCCCTGGGTCTACAGCCTTAGTCCTGGCCGTCTGTGCGAGTGGATACCTTTCTCTATAATCTCGCATTTCTCAATTGTTTATCAGTTTTATATAAATTGTTTTTGCTCAAAGCATCTACATTTTCACTTAATATTGCTCATTTTCTCATTACAGTTCACAGAGCACACATTTCCCAACTGGGATGAACAAAGCTAATCTATTTTTACATCAGAGATTTGTGAAATAAAAGCAAAAACAACTGGAAATGTCTCTGGTGTGAGATCAATAAAATCTATCTTATCTTATATTGTCTTAAAGGTGCAGTAAGCGATTTTATTAGCTTAGCCGTAGAACCAACTTGAAACCACTCCCCCCTCTCCCTCTCCACCAAACCAAACATCCAGCATTTTCTTTTCTTTGTTACAACAGGGCCACTCCCTGGGTGGCAAACATGAAAGTGCCGTTTTCTGTTCAGTCCTTTTAGGTTTTAGAAAATACAATAACTCCGGCGCACTCGCGAGAAACAGGAACCGCTCCAAAATATTTGTTATTAATTTTCGGAGACTATAGGCATCTGGTCAATTCCATTAATATTTGAAAACACATCATAACTTGACTGCTTTTAGGGTTTAGAGACGTTTTCCCAATATATTTAAAAATCTCTGACTGCATCTTTAAACGATGAAGCAAATTTCCAAACCCATTTTGCTCTCAGAATCTATCATAACTTTCCAATGATTTTTTTCTACCAAATTCTTTTACTGCTTGAGTTTCACAGCAGATTCTAACTAGGACAAGCATTCTCGGCCTTGTACGAAAGAAAGAAAGACGCAACACAAGTAAAAGACAAAGGGGAAACCGGAACAGAAGAGACAATATTTCATCAGCAGCGAGAGAGCGGCGGATGATGGAAACCTTGTTCTCTCTGCTCCGTCATGTGTTGCACTCGAGGCGTTTTGTCCCTGCTCTCTGGAGGAAATGTAACCGTGGCTTGTGCACTGATCCAGAGTGACCGACTGGAGCCCCGGCCCTCCTCCTGGTGACACGCTACACTTGCAGCTGGGATTGGGGGGGGGGGCCGCTGATCCTCCTCCTGGGTCATACATGTGTTTAAAAAAAAAAACTCAAATAATGTGTTTTTTTTCTCTGGTTAAAATGGGCTTTTTATGGGGCTGCCCTGTGCTGTCACTCATAGGGCAGTGACACATTTCTGAATCCCCGTGGTACGATTCCAGTCATGGATCTTCACATTATCCTCCGGCTGCTGGGAGGAAGAATGAAACCACGACAGGGTTTGGAGTTGGAGGTTATAGGTTTTAACAATATCCATCATGTTTGTCTGAGGTGTGAGTCAGAGGAAAGGTCCTTCAGGCGGCCACACAGAGCTGCAGCTAGTTAAGATGGCTGTGTCTTAAGGAGAAGAAGGAGAAGAGTCAGAAGAAGAAGAAAAAGTAGAGTCAAAAGAAGAATCAGTAGAAGAATAAGAAGAGTAAAAAAAAAAGAAGAGCCAGAGGAAGAAGAATAGTCAGAAGGAGAAGAGTCAGTAGAAGAAGAAGAGTCAAAAGAAGAAGAGTCAGAAGGAGAAGAGTCAGTAGAAGAAGAAGAAGAAGAGTCAAAAGAAGAAGAGTCAGAAGGAGAAGAGTCAGTAGAAGAAGAAGAGTCAAAAGAAGAAGAGTCAGAAGGAGAAGATTCAGTAGAAGAATAGTCAGAAGAAGAAGAGTCAGAAGGAGAAGAGTCAGTAGAAGAAGAGAAGAAGAAGAGTCAAAAGAAGAAGAGTCAGAAGGAGAAGAGTCAGTATAAGAAGAAGAAGAGTCAAAAGAAGAAGAGGCAGAAGGAGAAGAATCAGTATAAGAAGAAGAGTCAAAAGAAGAAGAGTCAGAAGGAGAAGAGTCAAAAGAAGAAGAGTCAGAAGAAGAAGAGTCAAAAGAAGAAGAGTCAGAAGAAGAAGAGTCAAAAGAAGAAGAGTCAGAAGGAGAAGAGTCAGAAGAAGAAGAGTCAAAAGAAGAAGAGTCAGAAGGAGAAGAGTCAGTAGAAGAAGAGTCATAAGAAGAAAGTCAAAAGAAGAAGTCAGAAGGAGAAGAGTCAGAAGAAGAAGAGTCAAAAGAAGAAGAGTCAGAAGGAGAAGAGTCAGTAGAAGAAGAAGAGTCAAAAGAAGAAGAGTCAGTAGAAGAAGAGTCAGAAGAAGAAGAGTCAGACGGAGAAAAGTCAGTAGAAGAAGAAGAAGAAGAGTCAAAAGAAGAAGAGTCAAAAGAAGAAGAGTCAGTAGAAGAAGAGTCACAAGAAGAAGAGTCAGTAGAAGAAGAGTCAGAAGGAGAAGAGTCAGAAGAAGAAGAGTCAAAAGAAGAAGAGTCAGAAGAAGAAGAGTCAAAAGAAGAAGAGTCAGAAGGAGAAGAGTCAGTAGAAGAAGAGTCAAAAGAAGAAGAGTCAGAAGGAGAAGAGTCAGTAGAAGAAGAGTCAAAAGAAGAAGAGTCAGAAGGAGAAGAGTCAGTAGAAGAAGAAGAAAAGTCAGAAGAAGAAGAGTCAGAAGGAGAAGAGTCAGAAGGAGAAGAGTCAGTAGAAGAAGAAGAAAAGTCAGAAGAAGAAGATAAAGAGTCAGAAGAAGAAGAAAAAGAGTCAGAGGAAGAAGAGTAAGTAGAACAAGAAGAAGAAGAAAAAGAGTCAGAAGAAGATGAAAGTCCTGTGTTCCTCCCGCAGTGGGGGATGGGTTTGTTGAACACACAGATACACAACAAGGCATGCAGCGTACACATTACTTCTGTGCTCCTATCCGCCAAAGTGGGGTTAAGAGTCTTGCCCAAGGACACAACAACAGCAGACATCAGTGAGAGTCTGTGGAGAAGGTCTCGAACCCACAACCTTCAGGCTCAAAGGCCAATGCCCACTACCAACTGAGCGACTGTCGCCACACTTGCTTTCTATTTTAGTCCAAATTAAAATCACAAACAGCGGTCGTCTTGAAGTATGTCACAGAATTGTCAATTCACCAACAGCTGATTAGACAAGCTAATTATTATAACATATACTGATAAAACTCTTCTTCTAGCTAGTGTCTGACAGGGGCACTTTTGATCTACCTACAGCTTACTAGATTTCTTTTAATCAACAACTCATTTGATATGTTTCAGTCCGGCTTTAGACCCCACCACAGCACTGAGACTGCTCTCGTTAAGGTTACAAACGATATCCGGCTGAACACTGACGCAGGCAAAGTCTCAATCTTAATCTTGTTAGATCTAAGTGCTGCCTTTGACACCGTCGACCATGAGATCCTCTTACAGAGACTAGAGGACTGGGTTGGCACCGCCCTAAGTTGGTTTAGGTCTTACCTTGAAGACAGGAAGTACTTTGTGGAGATTGGAAACTGTGTCTCAGATCACCTGACCTGTGGAGTCCCACAGGGGTCGATCCTGGGACCTCTTCTGTTCAATCTCTACATGCTGCCGTTAGGTCAGTTAATACGCAGAAACAAAGTTTCCTATCATAACTATGCAGACGACACTCAGATCTATGTCTCACTGACTGCAGGAGAACATGGACCAGTGGACTCACTCCTTCACTGTATCCAACAGATCAGTGAGTGGATGCAAAACAACTTCCTTCAGCTAAACGCAGACAAAACTGAAATGATTGTCTTTGGTCCCCAGAAACAAAGAGAGAGCGTCATCTGTCACCTACAGTCTCTCTCCCTAAAACCTTCAAACAAGGTCAGAAATCTAGGGGTAATACTGGACTCAGACTTAAATTTTAATAGCCACATCAAATCAGTAACATCAGCAGCTTTTTACCATCTAAAAAACATTGCCAGGATCAAAAACATAGTGTCTAAAGCAGACTTGGAGATTCTTATCCATGCATTTGTCTCCAGTAGGTTAGACTACTGCAATGGCCTGCTCACAGGTCTGTCCAAACAGGCTGTAAAACAGCTGCAGTACATTCAAAATGCAGCAGCTCGAGTCCTGACAAGAACCAGGAAGTACGACCACATTAGTCCAGTCCTCAGGTCTCTGCACTGGCTTCCTGTGGCTCAGAGAATAGACTTTAAAACAGCTCTGCTTGTGTACAAGTCTCTCCATAGCCTCGCACCAAAATATATTAGTGACATGTTAGTCCCATATGAACCAGCCCGGACTCTGAGGAGCACAGGGACTGGACTCCTGTTAGTGCCCAGAGTCAGAACTAAACATGGGGAGGCTGCTTTTCAGATTAATGCTGCTAAAATCTGGAACAGTCTTCCTGAAGATGTGAGACAGGCCTCCTCTCTGACAATGTTTAAAACCAGGTTAAAGACGGTTCTGTTTAACTGTGCATACAACTGAGGGATTTTATATTTTTATCTTTCTTTTTAATGTTCTGTGATAATCTATGATTTTAATGCTTTCTTGTTTTGTTCAGCACTTTGAATTGCCTTGTGTATGAATTGTGCTATATAAATAAACTTGCCTAAACTTGCCATGGAGGTATTATATGCATTATTCCGGGGATATTTATGCTTCTGTCCCGAGGGCCAGGTTTCGAGAGCTCAGGGACAGTTCTGAGAAGTCAAAAATATACAGTATACACATATTTTCTATTCTGAGTGAACCATACATTCACAGACATTCACAGCTGTTTTGACTTCACGATGCTGGGACCCTGGACCCTCTGTCCTGGACCGGTCTCAAGGCTGTTGTTGTGATGATTTGATTTGGTCCAAAGGGTTAACCAATGTCAATAAATGTTCATAAATCTCCCGGATTATCCCTTGTCCTTAGACCGTCCTGCATTACCAAGGAAGGGTCAGGAAGGGTCAGGAAGGGTCATTGGTGGAAGAAACATGGAAAATGGAAACCTCTGGACAGAAAGGGTATAGATCCAGGACCATTTATACATTTGTCCAATTACACACATGTGAGACTGTTTTAATATATCTTAAATTGACTCATATTTTGCAAAACCATCAGAGATAAATATTATAACCTCTATCAATATTTATTGCAACAACCTGAAAGACACATGTTTACAGATGAAAAAAGCACACATGGTTTAAAATAGGGGCTGGACATACTTAAAAACTTTAAATCCCCCAGAACAGCATGGTCATTGAATCATGTATAAATTGAGATTGTGGCAATGTGGAAGGCAAGGTAAGGCAGGTTTATTTGTATAGCACAATTCATGCACAAAGCAGAGCATGGATCACGAGGAATCCTGGTACCACACAGGCCTCACCTTAAATCACCAGCAGAAGGAGTGTCTGGTTTAGCCGACCGAACACCTGCTGATCCCAGAAAAACAAAAACTGATACACAGTGCACTATAAAAAAATCTCCTGAAAAAAAAAAAAACAAAAAAAATGAAAATATGACGACAAGATTTCTGAAAATAAGAAAATAATACTAGCCCCAAATGACTTCACATACATTTCAAGTAATATTTTCTTATTTATCAAACATTTTTGTGTCATACAACAAGACCAGTTGTCTTGAAATAAATAATCTTACATGACAAACTACATTCCAGCAGAAAACAGAAACTTGCCATTTCAAAATCAGCATAATTTGTTATTTTTAGTAAATAAATCGTACAAAGATTTTACTATATTCAGTGTGTATAAAGTAGGTCTTGCATGCATTAGTTACTTCAGAGCCTGCACTTTCAGGACTAAATGGATGGTAAATGCTCTTCCTGAACTCAGCTGAGAGCAGGTGTTATGGAAATGATGTTCCCCTTGTCAGACGCTGGAACACTTTGAGCTGGTTTGGTTCTAGTTATTTTGGTTCTAAGCAGCTGGGGCACTTCTGTCGTGTCTACATTTCTGCTGACCAGTGAGAATGTCATCCACGTCCGCTTATTTATTATTGTGAAGAATCAAACAAGTCTGACCTAGCCTGGTCTTACCATACTATCGTACTCTTTTCATGTTGTACTAAAGTCTAGATTTGTCAGGTGGGAGGGGTTGATTGAAAAGATTGGATCTGAGTGAATCGCTAGCATTTAGCATTTAGGGTAGCATCTCCTTTAATAAAAGATAAGATGGGCTGGAAAATGTGAAAAAACACATTTGCGCATGCGTCAACTGTACAAGCCCCATTCATTTAACGAGTGCATTCTGAAGTTCACAGCAACTAAACTAGTCTGGTCCAAAAAAGACTCTACCCTCAGCATTGACACACATGTGGAACAGAGCTTTGGGCCAAGAACGACTTTTTGACCATCCTGTAAAGATCTTTCAAGAGGAAAGAAGATGCTATACATTAGCATTGGCTAATTCTTATTCCAGGTCCATCGTCACTGGCCCAGAGTGACATTGCAAGCATGTCAGCATACATCATTTTGAGCTGGGCCCGCCCCTTCTGGACCAGACCCAGACGTTCAGTACAGACCAAAAGTTTGTACACCTTCTCATTCAAAGAGTTTTTTCTTTTCATGACAATGAAAATTGTAGATTCACACTGAAGGCATCAAAACTATGAATTAACTCAGGTGGAATTATGTACGTACTAAAAAAAAGTATAAAACAACTGAAAATATGTCTTAAATTCTCGGGTTATCAAAGTAGCACCTTTTGCACGGATTACTGCTTCACACACTCTTGGACTTCTCTTGATGAGCTTCAAGAGGTAGTGACCTGAAATGGTCTCCAACAGTCTTGAAGAAGTTCCCAGAGAGACTTAGCACTTGTTGGCCCTTTTACCTTCACTCTGTGGTCCAGCCCCAAAACCATCTGGACTGGGTTCAGGTCCGGTGACTGTGGTCACACAGCCTTTACACAGCCTGGTGCGGGTCTACAGTCAATAGTCATGAAAAGAATGGACACTCATTGAATGAGAAAGTGTGTCCAAACGTTTGGTCTGTGCTGTACATGTAGGAAATAATAATTGACCAGACCTCTGACCTGATGGAGGAAACCTGACTGGAACACTCCTAAATGTATCTGAAAATATAAATTGAATACACAATAGATTTTGGTCCATACTTGGTCACACTGTGGACCAACACAGACCCAAAGACATCAGAAGTAATTGATTTATTAATATGTATTCCACAGGTCCATCCTGCTTTTTCCCATGGCTGACTTCCTCCTGTCCGTTCTGCTCTCGTTAGCTCGCTGATGTAAGGTACTCGGTGTGAATCCATGATCAAATCCCCCCCACACACACCCTCTCCCTCTAATCTCTCTAACCCCACGGGATTAATCGCCAACAGAGAAGTGAAATCGATCTGTTTAATCACTAAAAGATGTGACAAAAATGCTGTAACTCCCGGGATCCTGGTGGGAAATTATTGGCCAATTGAAATTCATTGATGGTAGATTAAAGAGGACCAGAAAAGAGAGAAGGACTTAGAGGAAATAGGGCTTTAATGAGGCAATTGCTCCGAGCCGTGTATCCAAAAGACTGCTGTTTATCCTGTGCATTTTCAGAAAGTGAAGAAAACCAAATCAATAGTCAAACAATGAATAAAAATGACCCCAAAATGTATAAAGGCCGTCAAAATACTGTGTTATGGGGATGAGGCTCCACTGTGTGCTCTGAACAGTGCAGAGATGATTATGCTGTGACTCTGACAACTGTAAGGCCAGAGAAGGGGAAGTGGAAAGATTCATACAAAGCATTAAAATCATAAATAATCAGTGAATTAAAAACAGTAAA